AAAATTATTCGATGATAATTAATAATCAATAAGCTAACCAATTTAATAACTTTTATAAAATCGCGCAATATCTTTGTGTGCGGTTGTGAATATATGCTAGTTTGACCTCACGCGAATTTCGCCCGAAACGCTACCAATAGTAAATTGATATCTGGATAAATTCGGATATGGATAAATGGATTTATCCGGATTGGAACTCTACTAGTTAGAGTAAGCATTAAGGTCATAATTAGCAGAATAGTCTACTAAAAATGTATATAGATGGTTTCATTATAAATAAAGGCCGTATTGACCCTTGAGACGAGAGAATCGAATGTCTCCTTTGCTTAATAAATAAGTCCTACTATCTAACCCACTTTCCTTAATTACCCCCGATATTCTACTAAGTGGTATAGTAGAATTATCTTCGTAAATCCCCTTGTTCATCTCCATAATTACCGTACCTCCCGTAGTGATAATTGACCCGTCCCTTAGTAGTAGGAAAGACGACCTAAGTTTTAGAATGTCCGCCTGCCAAATCTAACCGCCTCTTTCGATATGGTCGTCCAGTTGCTGATTAATAATATGATTAGTTTGGTACCGGTGACCAAACCGCCCGATCACAATATCAAAAAAATAAAACTACTTAACTACCCACATTATTTACGTTAACCAATATTCAAGAGATCGGAAATTTTTCGAACATTATAACCCTGAGCCAAGCATCTATTACAGCTGCTTTCAAGGTTGTTTATGAATGATTCTGACCTGTAAATTTTCACAAAGATTGGATGTCGAATTTCTGATTTTAAGAGGTGCATTCATATCCACAAGTTCAACATCAACCTTTCTATAACGATAAAGTAAAGTCAATAATAATTTCATTTGAAGCATTGCAATATTTTTACCTATACATGCTCTTAAACCTCCACCAAACATTGAAAATGAAAATTTCTGATGATTTTTAATTTCTTGGGAATCATAAAATCTTTTCGGAATAAACTTTTCAGGATCTTTTCAATAAAGAGGATTATTATTAATCCCTCGAACATACATTATGAATAAATGATTCTTTGAAAACTGTTTTTATCTCTTCTAAATGTGTTAAAATTGACCCGAAACAATTTGGAGATGATCTATTAACATCGATGATTATTGCTAACACTCCATATGAAACTCATCCTCCAACCAATGTTGATTAAGGCCAATGACTAATAATGAAATGATTGGTCTTATGTTTGAATCATATTAAGATTCAAACGTAAGACCAATAATGAAGGATCAACATTGGATGAGTTTCATATGGAGCGTTAGCAATAATCATCGATGTTAATAGATCATCTCCTTATTGTTTCGGGTCAATTTTAACAATTTTTTCGATTTCTTTTTTCCTTCTTCTAATTTTTTCCATACACATTTCTTTAATAAAGTTAACATCATTTAGTAAACTCACATTATTAAGGCCAATGACTGATAATGAAATGATTAGTCTTATGTTTGAATCATGTGTACCTTCGAAAACTGTATGTAAAATAAAATGATTGGTGTGGTGAGGTATTGTGCGAGTGATTTGTAAGCACTTGACCTCCTTATACTAATTCATCTTTTTATATTGAATTCTTTAATGTTTTAGCATTAATAATAAATACGACCTCTGAGTATAGGAACATATCTTAAAAATTTTGGTGTAAATGTCAATAGATTATCATTCTGAAAGTGTTTTAGGCAATTGAAATATTTCTCAAAAATTTTTATGTCTT